TTCCAAAAAATATAATATGTTTATTTTAGATTTAAAATTTATTTTATGCAAATTTGATCAACAATATTATTGCTTGACAAAATTTTTATCGGTATTTCAAGAAAAAAAAAAATTAGAAAAATCGAAAATTTCAATGATCTATAAATATTTTGAAAATTTAATCATAAATATATAACGCTAATATAAAAATTTGGTTAAAATTTCAAGTCTTTACAATGATTCGCTTTTGAGTTACAGCAAAATCAAAAAATCGATTTAGTCGAAAAGTGGTTCTACGTAAATTCCTGTTTTTCCGTTTCTTTTTCAGGGTTATTACAGAGTCTCTTAAAAACTAATATAAATTTTTACTATTAACCACCTAAAGTATAAACTAGATTAAATTTCCTTTTTAAAGAGGGGCTGAAGTCAAAAATCAAAGCACTATTACTACTCCAAAACGTGATGACAGACATAATAAAAAAAATAAAATAAAAAAAAAGCACACATCATTGTAAAATAAACACGTTTATCACTCTGTTAAGAATCTAAAAGTTTTATAAAAAGTATTAACATAGATGTTCTAGAATATAGAATTAACCTATAAAAAACGGAAAATAATTTAGTACATAATAAAGAATTGAGTTAAATGAATTACCAACAGAAGTTGAAGGTGGTAAACTATGATAATAGATAAAGGGGAAATATTAGAAATTTGTATTCGAACACCACGAGCCGCCTCTGGTTTGAGAATTGTACAAAATAAAGTACATAATACTGCTTGATTACAATTCATGATTTCGAAAGTGTGGGTGCTGGGGTAATGCATCTAAAATGTTGGTGTTTAAAATTTTAATCTAGTAATCTTCAATGATTTTTCAAAGTTTTCAGAAAAGGTAAATAATATTAATTATCTGCACTAGTAACAGTGGACCAATAACAAATTTAATTACGATAAGAAATTTATGGCGAATGAAAAATAAACACAATGTTATGTCATGTTGTCATGTAAACCCAATAAATTTAATTTATTTTTATATTTTTATATATTTAACAATAGCAAATGTTAAATCAACTATATTTCTAAGTGTGTAGTATTAAAAATTATTTTATACTCAATAATAAAATCATTTACGATTAAACTTACCTGTTTAATCTTGTGTTGATGTAAAACATGAACTAAATTTAAATTTATTGTAATAGATACATCGCCAGATAAATTTATTTTGACCTTCTTTATAAAATTAATGTAAATAACCATTTACTAATAATAAATGATTATTTTTTTGACTCTTGACAAATGTTAACATTTTTATTATATGTAGGATATAATGTACGTACAATAAATATTTTACTATAACACAGACCACACTCTCAACTGACTTTACTATATTGTAATACATGGTAAATTCCATTTGTAATAAAACTGATGTTTATCAAAAATTGAATTACTATAATATACTACTTACTATCGATAAGAAATACTAAAATTAAATAATATACTGAAACCTGTATAGTGTACCATACTGATTATCGGATTAGGTACTGTAAACAATTTGACCATATTAATACATTATTATATTCTATATTATGTTGCAATGGCGTAGCCAGGATTTTTAAATGGGGGGGGGGCTAACCACTTTTTTGGATAAGTAAGGTAAGAGAGGATATGACAATTCACCCTTAACCCCCCCCCCCCACCATCTACCACCAAGTTTCTAAACGTAATTCAAGCATTTTAGTATAGTTATAAAAATATTTATTAATATATAATTTATAATAATAATAATAATTTTGGTTTCAGTGTTCAGTAACTTGCTCTACTCTGACAGCTGCATCTTCTTAGGCGAATTTCTGGCAAATTCAGTTATTATTTCACTTTCATCGAATTGCTATTTTTTATTTATATTAGCCATAGCTAACCCATTCAGTCTGTTTTCCGACATGGTGCTTCTTAAAAACAATTTTAAGCGATTAAGTGCTGAAAACGTTCTTTTCGGAGTGAAAGAGGTAACTGGTAACGTGGCGAATAATTGTAAAAGTATTTTAATATTAGGTCGAAGATTGGTGCGATGAGAAAGTGAATCAAGAGCAGAATTCGGTTTTGGAATAGTATTTTGACTCCATTGTTGCTTCCATATAAACAGGTCAGCTCTGATTGTAGATGAGGTATCATCATGGAGATCTTGGACAAATATTTAAGTAGCTTTTATAATATTTTTATCGTCATACATATTTAAATTGGCCGGAATAAGTCTTTCAAGTGGCATAACATCAATAAACCTTTGATTAAAACGAGCATTGATTCTATTAAATAGTCAAGATACATTATACATATAAACACGGCCCATGGGGGAGGCTATAGCCCCCTTAGCTCCCCCTTGGCTACGCCTCTGTTATGTTGTACCTACTAGGTAGTGTAGACTTATATAGTTCAGTATTGCACAATAGTTCTTTTTTTGGAGAAAATTTGACGGAGATATTTTGCCCTATAACCTTTCATATTATATTCGTTACTTACTGATTTTTTTTTTAAAACTTTCCATGTGGTAGGAAAATGTAATGATTCTTCACATAAATTACTTTTAATTTTATCTACATAATTTTCTCCTTCAATAAATTATTTAAGTTTCGAAGATAATGTAGATAAAGCATTATTCGGCATCCCATTTTTGAATAATTCAAAATTGTTAGGCGATAAAATAGAAAGATCAATGTACAATGCATTAATTTTTTAAAAATCTTGTAGTCATACTTTGTATAATAGCATCAAATACTTTATTATGTACTCCAACTTCAAATTTTTTTTGCAGCATTAATGATTGGTTCTTCTTCTTTCTCATAATCGCCTATCCTTTTTTTTCTTTATTTTCAAACTGGTCTTGAATAACACACATTTCTAAATCCTCCTTAATTTTTTCCTTGTCAGTATTTTCAGTCTCTAAATTAATTAGGCGTTTTGCCTTTTCTATGAACTTATCACATGTAATTTTTGTATTTTCCATATCTCGTTGGAGTTTTTTTATTTGTTCTAAAGTCCCTTCGACTATTTGTTGATATTTTAATAAATATAAGCCACATGTTTGTAAATATCTGGATAAGGAGCTTGTTATGGAAAGGAAACATATGTGCAATGAGAATATTTTCATACTTCAATAATGAAGATAATATACCGTCAGCTTTAGATCTAATATATCAGGTTTAAAACTTTCATTATTGGATATTTTAGATAGAGCAATAATTAACTCGGTATACAAAATATCTTAAAATGTATCATAATTATCAAACATTCTTACAAAAATATGAATCCAATTTCATACATTTTTTTTCCACTCAATATTAATAACTTTTTATTTTTTCCCCTATCTCTTTCAGCACCACCTTTTTTTATTATTATCATTCATTTCGAAAAGAAATATGAAATTAATAAGATATTTAAAACAAACCTTATTAATACGTATGAAATATAAATATGTAGGTAGGTACTCTATTAGTCCATCATATTGTATACTTAAACAATTACTGTAACACTGTAACAATATTTTGGTAATCTTGTTTTAGTGCTAATATCAGGCGCGTAGCCGGGGAGGGTGTTACAGGTGTATTAACACTCCCTCCCCCTCAGCCATGGTATACTAACTATGTTTTATCAAGATAAAGATGCATCATGTGATTTACACTTATTTATCAAAATGAAATATATATTACGATAACAATTATGTAAAACTCTAAAGCCGGCACCCGCCATTAATTATTAATTACTAGGTTTATGGACTTATAACTCTAAAAAATACACAAATATACATGCAAATATGCTTCTAAAATCATTAAAATATGAATTATAATATGCATTTATATGCATTGAAAAAAAAAATTACCATATAGTGCACAAAATAAAACGTGTTCATCGGATGTAAATGTATCTTTAAACTCCGAAACAAAACTTTGTAGTCGGCTACTCGTAGACTGTTGTACTTTCGGCATTACACAATAATAATTTTTTTTTTCACAAGCAGTGAAAGATCTTTTTCCTCTTTACGGCGCTTAAAAACATATATTAGGAACACAACAGGTGAAAATAGGTTGAACGGCTTAGCAGTTATGAATATTCATCGGAATTTAGTTGTAACCACCGACGAAATAATAGATACCCTAACTTTAAAAAGTAGACGCATTAAGTTAATTTAATTAAAAATGTTTTAATTTTTTTTTTGTATTTATTATAATAATATTTATGTGAAAAATTTAAATATACGTAAAGTAATCAATTTCGTGTGTATAATTTTGTCAATTAATTTTGAATAACACCCCCCCCCCCTCTTATAAATTTTTAGCTACGCACCTGACTGATATCATGGCAACTATAGTATAATTTATTAGGATGCCACACCACCAAAAAACATGTACAAAAACGTGTTTATGCGTTTCAATATTACGGCTTATTGAGTGGTTTTAGAGAAAAAACTAAGAAAATACGTCGTCTGCCCCAATAGTTATTTTTATATTTGATTGCTGTCTTATTATCTTACCCAACACCGATAAATCCCGATACTGTTTATGGAGATTATCACTTATCGACTATATATTCATGCGCACGTAAGAATTAGATATAAATATATAAAAGAAATGATAGAAAATTCTTGCATTATCCTTTATTTTCCTATATTTTTATTCTATTTACACTCCAGGCTAGCAGGCCATTTAGCTTCCAGGCCACCGGGATTTTTCCCGGTATCCCGGTGGACCACTCTGCCCCTGCATTCCTCGTTTCACTTTGAATCTAAAAAAATGTATACATTTAGTAACATGCGCGATTTTTATGGTGTATTCACTGTATGGATTCTGTTTTTATAAAAGCGTGATTGCTTTCTATAGAAATTAACTTACAATCATATAATTGTTTGAAATCCATATATTTATACAAATTGAAAAAAAAACACGAAATATGTTTTTTAATTTTTATTTGATAATTAGTGTAATTGGGTTGATATTACAAGAAAAAAAGCATAAAACAAACTCCAAAGAAAATTTGTTTAAAAAGTTATATTCTTTGGATTTTAGTTTGCATATTTTTTGGTTATTGTAATATTTATGCTGTAGATAGAACACCAGCACCCAAACCGAAGCCGCAACCTTTTGGCCCGAAAAATTTAGCATAACAAGGTTTGCAATGTATGTCGCCATCTGGACCATCGTTCACGTTCATTGAATCTAACGATTTGCTGCAATCGGCACAAGTAAAACATCTCTTGTGCCAAACCTTGAAAAATAATATTAATTGTTATGCATAAATAAAATCATATATAAAATATAAAATATAAAATATAAAATCATAAATAAAATTTATATATATAAATAAATATTTAGTTCTAAAGTACATCCTCTGCATTACGGATAATTATTAATTATACGTAGCACTCAAACAAATATATGTATAGATTACTTTTTTCGTATATTAGTAATTTTATTTATTAATAAAATTAAAGTAAATTTTAAAATTATATTACCTTATTTTTACTAATCATCTGTTCAGCTGCGTAAACTTCATATCCACATCTCAAGCAACCACCGCCATTTCTACTCTTAATTCCAGATGTCGGTCTCGCTTCCGAGCTGCAATAAAAAAATATTTTAAGTAATAACTTTTATTTTTACAGATATATTTTTTATTTTTACTAAGTAACCAAGACATTTGGTGGTGGTTATAAAATGGTATATGTAATCTACACCCTGTCACAAGTATTTAAAATGAAAAAAGTAGAATGTACACTATCTTAACTCAATCTTTAATTAGTTAGTTATTCTAATTAATTTACTCCTATTAAAACATTTGTATCAAAAATTGATAAACAACCTATTTTTATTTGAAACATTTTAAACATGTCAACCCATAAAAATGATGATGACAATATAATACGAAACAGTTATTAAAGTTTGTCATCATTTGTAATGGATTTAAAATATTCTTTATTTAAATACAAAATTATTTTTAATTAACAAACAAGGCTGCAGCAAGGGGGGTGAGATACGCCTTGGGCACAATTCCTTAGAGAGCACAAAAATAAAAGTTTGCATTTATGTTAAAAATTACAATACTCAATGTTGTATTTTTTATTTACAAAAACTTCAACGTCTTTTATATTTATTGAAGCAATTGTTGAAAATAATATCTAATAATTATAATATTTTTAAATTAAAAATACACGAGGATGCATTTTGAAATTTCACCCTGGATGCAATATTAGGTTGCTACGACACGGTTAACAAAAAATATTTATAATTTTAATTTGAAATGATTGATCTTCTGATCATACTATTTGCTTTTATTTAATAATAATTCACCCGTATTTAAAATATGACAATATTACTTACAATAAAGTTGTAGATTCTCCTTTTGTGGAGACCAAAGTTGGCGAATGTCCATATCCAAATCCTTTGGGTCCAAATTGTTTTCCATAGCACGGTCGACAGTAAATTTCCTTGTCGGGTCCATCACAAGCTAATGTAGAGTCTAATGGCCGATGGCAAGTAGAACAATTAAAGCATATCTTGTGCCACATCTATAATATTTATATTTATTTATTTGTGTATAATAATTGAAAATTAATAAAAATAATTAATATACAACAACACCATGCATTTTTTTTTGAATATTGAAATAAAATTATAATTTTAACTTAATTTCAAGAAATTAATATAAGTTATAAAACAAAAGTTTAAATTTTGCTGTCAAAGTAACTTACTGTGCCTTTAGCCAATTGTTGTTCAGCTGCAAATACTTTTCCTCCACATCTCGGACATCCTTCTCCATTTGCTGCTTTAATAGACGTAGTATCGGGATTAAAAAATGGTCGCGAAGCTGATATTTGTTCGTCGCTATTAAAGTTATTAATTTTAATTACATAATATAATTACAATAAATTTAAAAATAATTACTTACGTCAATCCATCTGTTTGGAGGAATCCTGATCCACAAGCAAATCCATAACCATGAGGACCCCATTTTTTACCATAGCAAGTTTTACAGTACACATCACGGTCTGGACCATCACAAGCAATTATCGAATCCAAAGTCTTGTTGCAATCTTTGCATTTGAAACATTTTCTATGCCATTCCTTTCAAAAATAATGTAAAAATAACGTAAATTACATCATAAATTTACTCAAATATCATAAATGTCATTGACGTATTTTCGGAGAAGGGAGAGTTCCAGGGTCTCGATCCCCCTCCCATAAGAAAAAAAATGTTCAAAAGTCATAATTGACTTCCTACGAAGGTACAGAGAAAGAAAACATTAATTTGTACCATGTTGTTGTAATGGTTGTATAAAAATATTTGTATATTATTATAATTATTAACTCATAATTTATATGTAATTTTTATAATGTTATAAAATCACTTATTTTTTAGAAAAAATATTAAACTCCTCCGACAAAAAATTTGAAAAAACGCCACTGATCATTGTTATACATATGATAAAAGTATGAAAACATTTTAACATTAAATGTAAATAATTAATTATTCTTGAAAATGATAGTTCTTTAAAATCAACTTATAAACATTTGTTTGACTTACGTATATTATGTTGATTACAATATATGAATACTTACATTACCCTTAGCAAGTACTTGTTCAGCGGCAAAGACTACTCCGCCACAACGTGGACATCCTTCTCCTGGTTTCGCCTTTATAGAAGTAGTACTTGAATCAATAATTGGAGCACGAGATGTACTGACATTCCTATAAGTCATGAAACATATAAAACGCAAGTAAATTTATGCAATTAAAATATATAATGGTTATAAATACATTGTTTTGGTACGATTGTGCATTGAATACTATATTTGGAATAAATATCATGGCAAAAAAAGGAAAACGTATACACATTTATTGGTCCATACAAATTTTCTAGGCATATTGGTCATCGCATGCTATGAAGAAAAATTTGATACTAGGATTTTTAGCTTTTGGGTATTATTAAATACCTTTCGATTTCGTCGGTTAGGTCACATGTTAAACCAATTGATTGACTTCCAGCGCCTCTATGACCTATACCTCTAGGGCCAAAACGCTTTGAATAACAAACTATAGAAAAAAACATCGAATTGAATTCTAGATTTTGACTTGTAATATTATAATATTTTGTATTATAATTTGGATCGTTAAAAAAGGATATAAATTATATAATTATTTTATGATGAGTGAAAACCAGTTCATGCAAAATGTATATGAAATATATTAGAATTTCATAATGTGCTGTGCGTAAAATAAATTTGCCTACTTAAAAATTTCGTTTGAATGTTCTTCCGACAGTTTCTAAAGCAAATCTATGATATTTGTTAATAGATTATTTTTCTTAAAATACTTGTTTCGGTAGTAAACTGATCTATAATAATTTTATTATTTTTCTAACACAAAACATAATGTTTTGGCCCATGGGAATCTAATTATAATGTTTAATATTATAAATTAATTTACAATATATACCCTATTCAAATTAGTTTATTTTTTATAAACCTAATAATATAAAGTATTTTATAGTTTTACGGACTTTTTTTAAATGATGGAGACCATGCAGATATTTATTTTTCCTCCACCAATACACAACAACGTCAAACATGACATATGTTACTACAATATTGAAGTCCTATACAACTTTACAAATAATATACATTTAATTAATGCAAAGTTATACCTATGTTATACTTATATATGTATAAATTGAAATATTTATTTTTTAAACTATAAGAGTAAAAAATTATACGTACCCATTATAAGAGGGATCGCTTTGAAGAGCTCCTGCTCCTTGACCATAACCGTAACCCTTTGGCCCAAATTTTTTGCCGTAGCATACTGATTTGAAAACAGTTATTTCAAAAGTTAAAACATGCAAGCAAATCCATACATTAAATATTGATACAAACCTTTACAGTAAATATCTTTATCAGAACCTTCACAACAGTTAACTGAGTCCAAACGTTTCTTGCATGTAGAACATTTGAAACACTCTCTATGCCATGACTAAATAAATATAAATAAATATCATGCAGTGCTTGACATTTTTTATTAAGTAATACTTAAAGGAGATAAAATAAAGTAAATAGTATTTAATTTTTAATTCCCTAAACGTCTTATGTAATTTCACAATTTAAATACAAATCAAACATTTTGTTAATATAAAATGTGTATTTAATTTTCAAGTCTTATTAAATAGGTATTTCAACAAAAACCATATTTTTCACTCAAATCGGGATATATACTTTATCAGGCAAATGTTCAATCTCATTCACCTTTACAGTGCACTTCATTATCAGGCCCGTCACAATGTAATACTGAATTCAGAGTTTTGTGACACGTAGCACAATTATAACATTCTTTGTGGTATCCCTAGAATACCATACTGATCAAGTGACATATCCTACATAGATCTAATTAAAATTGTGATTTGTTGTAGTAGTAATTATAAATTAATTTATACTCACTCTGCCTTTGGCTAACATTTTCTCAGCCATGTACACAAATCCACCGCAACGTGGACATCCATCTCCATCGGGAGCTTTGGAAACAGACCTCGATTCCAAAGCAGCATTAGAATTATGATAATATGATCTAAAATATAATTTTTGATTAAAACTCGAAACAAAATACATTTTCCTAAAAATAAAGTTAACAAATGTTATCCTTTTGAACTAATTATGTGTAATGTAATAATTAAAAATATAAAGTAATGGATTAGTAATTTTAGTGATATTCACCATAAAGATAGGTGTGTGTTTATATATTGTGTTATTAAAATAATCGTGCATAAAAAGAGACAAATTCATTGAAATTCAATCAAATTATAAAACAATATCGAGAAATAATATTTGCACATCTCAATCAATAAAAAAAAAACCAACAATAAGTGTGTAAAATTATTTTGCATAGTATGATTAATTAAAGATTAAAATAAGTATATATTATGGTTATTAATAGTTCTAAACTTCGTGTATAAAATCCAGACTACTTATTGTCATGTATTAAAACTTGAGCTTGTAATATTTTAACAAACAAATATAAATTGTTTCATATACTAAATTTTCTTTTATTATCGATTACTGTGATGTACATAAATAATTACATTCTATACATGTAGTATCAATATGTTGTTAGAACCTATTATTTTTCGAATATATTAGAAATGTTGGTGTGGATCGATAAGATTACAATGAATATATTTTTGAATTATTTTCTATTCTAGAAATATATTGAAAAAAAACCAATTATGTTTTTTGATTGATATGGATTTTTTTTAAAAATATATTACTATTAGATACAGGTAGGTAAATAGAGCACTACATTAGCTATTAGGTATTCATTAAACATAAGTACGTATTGTATCCGTATAATTAAACATAAAGTATTTCTATGTTTCAGCAAAATCTTGGTATAAAATAGTATAGTTATTAATAAATTATTGTATAGAGCTTGATTTTCCTAGAAATTTAAAAGTAAATATTATATTATTATATGAAATGTAACAAGAGAAAAATTCACATATTCATAACCAATAATGACTCCAATCCGAAAGTTGCAGCTTGCTGAAGTAAAACAAAACAAAACAATAATTATATCACTGTTTGTACCTTTTCAGGCAAATACAAAAGTCAAAATAATATTTACAAATCATATCAAGTTCACCTCTCCATGTTATTGTCATACATACTTTTATTAAATATTAAAATATTAACTATTAACTAAGCCAGTGTTTCCCAAAGGAACTTTAATGAAAACTATTTTACGAGGTCTAAAAATATTTGTTAGTGAAAAGTAGTACAATACGTGTAATGAGAATGTACTACGATATTTATAACTTAAAATTATGTAATTCTGTGATACAAGGAAAAATAAATATGGGAATCACTGTACAAAGCGAAAAAATTAAAAAAGTATTTAGTATTTAAAGAAAATATTTATAATAAAATATTTAGACTATATTAATAAAAGGTACACAAGCACATATTAGTGAAAGCAAAACAAGCAAAGCATAAATATTTTAAAATAAACATATTTGTAGGCACAAGACCTATACGAGCAAATATTTATGATAATAATTAAAAAAAAAAAAAATTAATCTCACCATTTAAAGCCATTCGGACTCATTCGGACTCAAGAAGTGAAACTATAGCATTCCATGAACTCTCTTAAACTCGATTCTTAACATCAATATGCTTTGTGATTTTATGCTTGGTATTTTAAATTAATTTTCATGTCTAACATGGTAATTTTAAATAAAGTAACTTATATAATAGTTGGTATATTAAGCGTGCTTCAGGCAGATTTGCAGTCTAAATTTGATTATAGAGCTGATCTTTTAAAATGTGTATCATTAGCATTATTAATATATTTCAATATTGAAAAGCTTTAAATATGTCTGATAAAAAAAACATATTATTATATACATTTGATATATATTCTCCAAAGCAAACACAGTTATATATGTACGAAAAATTAAAAATTAAATAATAAAAATAGTAAAATAAATTGTTATGATTAGCCGAAAACATCGCTTAATCTGCCAGATAGACGAAAAAATAAATACGATTTTTGAAAATAATATTAATTTAATGAAAAATTAACAAAACATTTCTATACATGTTGCTTGTTCACTGTACATATGACTAATATATGTGGTAAATAGGTACAAGCTTGGATACTTAACATATAATTATTGTTTAGAAAATATCTTCCAAAACGTAAACAGAAATGAGAGGTGAATTTGTATGTGTAAGCAAATATTAAAAAGGTTTTACTCTTGCATGCAAAAATAAGTATAGGTTGATGGATAGGTCCTTTGGATGGTCAAGTATTTAATTGGGTTGGTTCTTCATTAACGGCTGTTAAAAAAAACAAACTTTATTAACTATATTATCTTTTTGAAAAAATGCTCGTAAGAAAATCATCAATCAATGATAACTGTGTAGGGATCGATGTATGTATAACCAAAAATGTAATAAATATAATAACTTATTTTAATTAACAGTAGACAATTTATGAAATATAGAAATATCGTGTTCCACAGAAGGTTAGTGGAAATATTAGTTATTAAATAATATAATATTTATTTTTAGAAATAATTTATATTTTGATAAAAATACGAATGTTTACTTTTAGATTCTGAATAAAGCGAGGAATGCATTTTTTATGAATATTTTAAGTAACTGTAATTTATATTTTAACTGTTGATCTGGAATACCATAAGGAAACACATATTTATTTATATAAAATAAAAATAAAACTTTTTAGTATAAATAATTATTTCTACCATTAAATGTCTCTTTATCTCCCAAAAAAAATTATTAGTAAAATGTACCCATTAATAAAAAATTAATTGAATAGTTATTTACTATGAAATTTGTATTTTACTTACGTATTTTCAAGATGTTCACCACTGTCTGTACTTAGGCATCCTGCTCCACCACCGAATCCATATCCTTTAGGTCCGTATTTCCTTCCATGGCAATTTTTACAGTAAATCTCTTTTTCGTGTTCTGCACAATTTGTGGAATCCAAAAACTTGCCACATAATCCTACAGTATATATACATATATAATTATGAACCAGAATAATATTTATAGGAAAATTATATTAAGGCAATGGTTTTTAATAAAAAAATAAAAATAAAAAATAAAATAAAAATTACTAACCACATTTGAAGCACATTTTATGCCATTTGTATCCTCCGGCAATTCGTTCTTCAGCAGCATACACCGATTTGGAGCATTTGGGGCATTTTGGGTGTTCGATTGCGACAAAAGGCATTTTGGGTGCTGATGTAGATGAATTTACAAATAAAACTAAAAAATATTGAATTGTTATATTATTATTGGTATAACGAAACTACACTGATTATTCGAATAAATATAAAAAAAAATTAAATTTAATAGTTGTATTGGTAAAAATTAATATATTAACGTAAAGTTCAATCGTTTATTTTCTATCATTACCTGGCATAGTTTTCATTGTGAATTAATCAGTGAACAGAAGTAATTATCTTAAGGGATGCAATATATAGATCGACTACTAAGTTTTCTTCACTATGTAGTTGTGTAAGAAAGAGCACAATAATTATAATTCACCCATTCTGAGATCGTAAAAACCCGACACTGTCGGCAGTTTTATAGAACATTTTAAATGTCAGCTAGATTTAGATTCGTCATTTACTATATAAATCGAGAACTAATATAGAGGGAGAAGTAAAATGACAAATATTTATAAATGACTTTACTATATTAATAGCGTTTGGCGATACTTGACAAGTAGAATTGGCTATGATCCATGATTCGTTCCTGGATACTCTGACCTATATATTTATAACCGATCTTCGGAAAAAATATAAACTAATTCCGTCGATTGTTGGTGCAGAGGAAGCATAAAGTTATGTCTTAGAGAAATACAGTTTTTTTTTTTATATTATATTAATAAATGTAAACAAGTATATTTGACATTTTAAATAATAGTAACAAGAGTTCTTTATTAATTGTTTTTAAAATTATTGACATACTACATGGTAAATTTAGTTATTTTGGTTTCCAAACGACAAAAATCAATAAATGTATACAATACTGTAAAATGTAGGTCTAGGTCTACAGTATGGCAATGTGTCAATTTAAAACTATAAAAGGACCGTTAAAAGTTTAAACCATAAACATCTCCTTATAAAGAAAAAAAAATGTTTAATGACCTCAACATTAAATACTACGAATGGCAATTTTAGAAAACAAAATTACTCAAGCATGTGAGTTAAAAACAAATTATGGTTTGTTATGACTATAAATAATATAACTGAGTATTAGATTGAATGCATACAATTATAAATATATGTACAATTTAATGTTTTGTATCGGTTACTGTGCAGTGGTCCTATGAGGTCGCTTGTGTAAATTATGCCTTATATTCAATACAATTAAAATATAAGCTTAATGTTCTAAATTAAGAGGTTTTTAGTTTCCATTAATTAACTTTCGTATAATAGTACTAGTGTCAATACTAATTTTTAATTTATAAAAAGATTTATATTATTAATATTCATTTAGTATAAACAGTGGGTAGTACCTTATATAAATTAAATATTTTGGTATAAAATAAATTGAAATCGAAGTAATATGTATTTTAAAAATAAGTAAAATAAAAACATTTTATGAAAATAATTGTAATTTTTATATATTATGTATACTAATATTATGCAAAATAAACTTACAGTAAGTATAGTAAAATTCGTATTATATTATATTTTAAATATTCATTTATTCTAATTTGTAAGTTTAATTGTAGAATACAATTATATTTTAATATGATTTATTTATAATTAATAATAAAATAATATTGTTAAATATTCAAATCATTAAACCAAAATACCAATGTAATATTGAAATTAACAAAAAAAATAAATAAATAAATAAATAATAAATAAAATTAAAAAATAAGTATTTGTGTAAATTTAATAAATGTTTACTTACAATATGTAGTTAATTCATATTATATTCTAGTATAGCAAATATATAAGAAGTAGTAAATAAGTTGTAGTCTTATAAGTATTATAATATTTGTAATATTGAAATGTTATTCAATTATTAAAAATTGATCGTTAAAGTAAATTTAAATTTAAAAATATTATTGATTAAATTGTCTTAGTTTTAAAAAATCTGTATCACATTTATTGTATTATACATATATGCTTACATTTAAGTATAAGTGTTAAATATTAACTAATACAATATTAAAATCTGTACTCACCTTGGTAAACAGTGAATGTGCACTGTCGTATTCAGCTTCGCTTTTGTAAATGTGCTCAAACTTTAATCAAAGTGCTGTATATGTATTGCTTGTGTCCCAACTAAAAGATTGCACACGGCACATTTGCTCCGCCCTTTAAGCTGTATACTCCTACGCAAATCTAGTATCCCCTTGATATACAATATTACAGTTTCAGGATAAAAAATATACACAAATACAAATATTATTAAAATGTAGGATTACAAAATTCATATACTCGTACTTTTGTCAGTAAAAACAGAAAAAATTGTATTGTTATGAATAATTTAAAAATATTAATAATATTTTGAACATTAACAGAATCGTTGTATTTAGAACCATTAGTTTCCATTTAAAACGTAAATAATGTGGGGGCGAAGAACACGGTACTTGGCATAAGATCTTTAAAAATTATTTTAAAACTTTCTAGATCTAAATTTTAAACTTTTAATTGATACACACACGCATTTCTTTTGTTTTGGTTTAATTTTAGTACATAATATTTCTATTATAATGCCTATTAAATATAAGTTCATTAATTTAATTTTCGATTGATATGTCTTATATTTTTTTTTCCTAAAAACATCTGATGTTGTGATAAAATTTATAAAATTAACAATAATAATTTCATAATACGAATAACCTTATAACTAGGTATATTTTTTTCCATAGTACAAATAATAGAAATCATGAATCTAAAATAATTATTAAAAATAAGATTACCTATTACAATATTATGGACATACATTACCTATATATTGGTTACAAACTTTTATCAATTAAACTATAAGTTTTTTAAGCAACAATATAATTTATTACCTACCTCTAATGAAATAAATACTAAATATTATATTAGGTGCGTTTTATATTTATTTTACTCAAATTATTACATTATTAAATTATTATTATTTAAATATATCAGATATTTCTGTCTTACGCAATTTTCCTTGTATATATTCAGAATTATGAATTATAATATAATTTAATATTACATTTGATAATTATTTATATTTCTTTATAATAAAATCCTTTAAAATATTGATTAGAACTCATAGGTTGAATGTCATGATGGGATAAGTATTAAATATAATTATATATTGTATTCTTGTATCTAAAAAAATAAATATTTAATGTTTAATATAATTAAAATATATCAATCTAAAATATGCAAGATTGGCTACTACAGTCGAATATTAAGAAAAAACGAGTAAACAGGGCGTTGACATGCTGATGAAAAATCACCTGCATGGATTTTTTTTGATTTTTCAAATTCTTGGCATACATATTAAGGTATGGGAAGAAATTTGTAAAGCTATTTTCATCTGATCATACCTTAGATATGTGAGCGGGTGGCCAAGGACAGATATCTTGCCATAGAGAGGGACAAGAAGAAAAAGGAGAAAACGTAGTTATAGATAGTTCATAATATTATATGCCAAAATAAAATGGCCTCCTTGTGTAAACGACTAAAATAGGCCACTTGCCCAACCTGGCCAAAAAGATAGTGAATTCAATAAGATAATGTTAACTCACAGGTCTATTTCAGTATAATAGTTATGTTAATTTATACTTAAACATAGAAAATAAAAGTTTAAAAAAATATAAATATTACCTTATACAAATATAAATGTATAATATGTGTTATTATTGTACTTCGAGTTGTGTTCTAGATTTTCTCTCGGATAAAAATGTAATACCCTCGGTTATTGAGAGAATCTCACACTATATTATATATATATATACATACTGACTGTAAAAAATTATAACAATAAATTTAGGATTTTATTTATATTTTTGAATGTTATGATTACATTATAATAAAAATAAAAAAATATGATTGTCAATATTTAATAAATCATAGAAGATATGGGAAATCAAACACAACAAATGAACAAATAAATACTAATTAAAATAAAAAAATAAAAGTAAAATACAAAATAATGCAATAATGATATGATATAATTTATTTTGTAGCATTTTCGTAGGCTGTGTCAGTTACGCAATTATTAATCATACATCACTTATGCTCATGTCGTTATCGTGTTTATCGTAGTTTCCTGTACTTTAGCATTCAATGTAAATTGCAAGAAATATTTTTTAAAAATAAAGTAATTTATACTTTTGCTGACTTTTATTGAATTACTCATTTGACATATAAGTAGGATTTAAAGATACGAATTTAATGAAAAATAAACTAGTGTTTATTATATCTTACCACTTATTGCCAATTGCATTTAAATTATATATGTAATACGTTGATAGTAAAACAATTTTAGCGTAATATCCATTTACAAGGCCGTAGTATGGAGGAGATGAAAGATCCCTACGTCTTAGGTGCAATTTTTAGGATGGTGTAAAAACAAAAAATTTAAAATTTATGTTAAAAATCATAATGGTTAATGTCGTATATTTAATTTACAAAAACTTCATTGTCCATTATATTAATTGAAGAAATTTTTGAAAATAATATATAATAATTATCAGTGACGTATATAGAAAATATTTTCGGGAGGGGCTACTATGGACAGAGTTAAATTACTACTGCTATCTAAGAATTACTAACAAGACACAGTAGGTACTTATCAGTGGCATAATTTGGAATTGGTTTTGGGGTAGGATTGGTATTTAAGTTTATACTATCGTTCTAGTGGGGCTATGTCATCCCACACCCTCCTTAACCATCAAATCTCATATACCTCAATATTATATTAATTTATTATTTTGAATTAAATGAGGCAAATGGTTTAATGATGATTTTCAAAGACAATTAATTAAACAATTAAATTAACCTAAATATATTTTTCATAAATTATAATATTAATTTAATTTTTCTTTTTCTTTTTTTTCGCCAAAATATCCAGTAGGTACGTCATCGGGGTTCAACTGAATGTCCCAATGCACTGATATCATAGTAAGTCCATTCAAGCGTACCTATTAAGTATTTAAGTTAATATAAGTTCATAATTATTACGTAATTTACAAAAACAATGATTATTACCTATTCCATTATGTTTCTGAGATAAGTTTTTACTCTTTTTAAAGTAGAAATGTTGAAATATGAATAAATAAAAAAATATCAGTTACATTTTTTAATTAGCCTAGTATTATGGAAAAATTTAAATTAATATATAGTATACATCTAACAAGTATCATAGTATAGGTTACTTACAAGATATTTATGTTTATGAACAAATAAGACTATATCATTTTGATGGTACTGTGCATTGCTAACTTGAGCTTTCAATCTTAAAATATAAGAAGAATAAATCATTTGTTTTAGTATATTAAGCTATAATGTGATATTATGTAGCATATTTCCAACATATTATAATAATATTGATTATAATAATGATTATAATAAGAACTTTTAGATTATATGTATAATAAATAATTGATAAATAACCAACATTAATATTTGTATTAGAAAAAATTTCAATGTTTCACGTTTTTGTGAAATATTGCATGCTTTAAACACTAATCAAGAGTCGTAAATTGTAGATTAATCAGTGTTATATTTACCTATGAGCTATACAATTGTCTTGTCATATATTGTAATTGTTGAGCTATCGTAGTTTTATATTAGTAAAATAAAAAAAGAAATCTCAACTATGATAATATCCATAAATTCTTATTTCTTATCTTAAAATCTTTTAAAGCTTAATGCTTACGGGAATTTAATTAAAAAAAAAGCATCTTTGGGGATATATCCCCAAATCCCCCCCCCCATAATTACGCCACTGGTCTGACGTGTTTTTAGAAAAAATCAAAACAAAGAATAATCGATTATTGAACAAAATATTGGCTATGATTCCCTAGGTACAATCTATGTTTACATTAATGGCACACGTACTCAATTGTTTCATACAATAACGAGTAAAATTACTTTTAAGTTTAAATACTGACCTGTAGTTTTGAACGTTTGTTTACTACATAATATTTATATTATAAACTTATTTTGGATGACAACCACCACCATAGGCGTAACTTGGAAATTTATTAGAGAGGGGCAAATATATAATTATATAATTATATATCTAACGAAAAGTGTGTCCGAGACTAAACGCAGTTTTACTACCTACATATTATTGTATAAAATTATTTATTTTCTAACATTACGTCGGATAAGCAAAAATTTAAAAATTAAGATTTAAAAAAAAAAATGTTATAATAATAGCTATAGCCAACTGTTTTGTACCTACTTATTTTAAAACAAGGTATGTTAAATATCAGAAGGGACACTTCCCCTCCTAATTTATTCTAGGGGCAATTTCCTTCCACTTGCCCCCCCAGTTTATGCCTATGATCACCACTGTTTTACAATGGACCACTTAGAACAAAATCTAGTAATATTCTGCTACGATATCTATAGTTAAAAATAAATATTTTAAATATAGTATTAATAATAATCATTTTTTATGAAATTTGTCGTTTTATAATTTTTAATTTCAATTTTTGTGCATATTTTAACATAATTATTGTAAATATTCAGATCATAAGCCTATATTACATATCATAGTGTCCCCCGCAATATATTTCAAACCAAAGACACAATAACGACAAAATAAAATTAAAATAAAGTCTTGTTCTAAAGACATATAAATATACATAAATATGTAAACTGGTATAGAAATTTTTTTTTTTATGGTTTTTGATAATTTATATTACCTATATATTTTGTGAATTAAAATTAATTTTTTTTAACATTTGTTAAAACTTTTATCGTATAAAAATTTATAATAGTTATAAAAGTTTAGATTTGATTTTTATATAGTAAATATTATGATATTGTTTTTAAAAGCTGATTATTGTATGAGAATCTTCACTTCCTCTCCCAAAAAGAAAGTTTCTTGACCGTTTAAATACTGGACAACGGCTTTGTAAGGACTAGGGCCTAGGGCCTAAGATAGTGTTAATCCGGGTCTGCCTCTACTCGTTAATAAATACTGTCATAATCGTCGTAAATGCAGTAAATAGTTCGATTAATTCTCACGAAATCAGTAAAACTAATTAACACCGTGATCTATGATTATAATACTATGGGATGTCTTTAAAAATATTCACCCCTTAATGTATTAAATTGATATATTCT